CTCACTTCCTCTCCTTCCCAGCACCTTCCCCAATTGATTTTCRTTTCTTTTTTTTCTTTGCAGAGTAAGGAAGTGGGGCTGCAGCTCCAGGAGGACCTGATGAARGTTTTGAATGAACTCTACACGGTAAATGCAGCTTTTTTCTTGGCCTCTCATCAGGCACAAGTGTTGGATTTCTCCCAGCAGGACTGAAAAGCTCGTGGGCACCTCAAAAGCTCCAAAAATTTCATTTTTTTCCCTCTGTCCCTGTGTTGTTTTACTCTCTGAGTGTTGGCTCCCCCAAGATCTCATCAATTGTGGCTTTGCTGCTTTCAGAAAGAGCCAGAAATGGGAGAATTATTCCCTAAAACATCCAAAATTTCAGATTTTGGGATATAAACTTCAGCAGAAGCACCGCCTGAGCTTGTTTGTCCCTCAGCAGAATTATTAATTAACTCAGAAATATTACAGCAACGGGGAAGTTTGCATGAACTCATTTATAAAAGGGTACAGGATTGGGGGGAAAAAAAAACAAAAAAAGAGTGTTTGAGTCCAGAGCTTTGTTCTTCTAGGAGCAGGAATTCCATGGATATTTGCTCCAGGATCTCACCCTTCCCCTTCCAAATGGGAATTGCTTTTTAAAACTCTTTAAAAATTGCATTTTAAAGAGTTTTAAAGGGTTTTTCCCCTTAAATCTTGTGGAAGATGAGTTTTTTCATCTGGAATTTTTTTCCAACCGTGTAAAATTCACTGGGGACACCGAGGAGGAGGAGGAAGATGAAGATGGGCTCCTGTTCCCAAGGGCTCTGCTGCTGTTTGGGGATTTCTCTCCTCTCACATGGATGAACAGCAAAGCCTCTTGTCTGACAGAAATTCTGCTTTTTACAGCTGTTCCCCAGCCAGTTCTCTGATTTAAAAGCAGAACTCAGGGTTTTGCTGCTCAAAATGCTTTTTATTTTGTCCTTCCTCAGTGATTTTTGGGGTCACCACACCAAGGGTGGTGCTCTGGTCTTCCTCCTTCCACGAGGTGATCCGGGGTTGTTTTTGGGGAAATTGGGTGTAAAAATCAGAGTTATAGGATTTCAGGGGCTTTGCTGGGATTTCCTCAATCAGTAAAATATTTAGAGCATTTTTTTCATTAAAATTCATTACAATTRGAGCCTCAAAGCCAAATATTCAGAAAAATTAGAGCCTCAAAGCCAAATATTCAGAAAAATCAGCGCTCCAGAAATGGTTTTGTATTTGAGGGTGTGATKGKCTCAACTYTTGAGTGGTGTCAGGAAGGACACARATCTGTCTCTAAAAACAGATTTTAGGAGCTGAGATTCATTTCTCATCCAAGTTCCCCTGGCTCTGAAGTGGCTGCTGAGTGGAATTTCACAGAGAGGGGAGCATTTCTGGAATTTCAGAGTGATTCCTGCTGATTCCTCTTACCCCTGTCAGGAAAATCTTCCACAATTCAACCTTTGATAACCAAAGCGATGTGAGAATGCTCCCAACTCTCTCAGGCACCTCCTGCCCTAATTTTTCCTGCTCTGGAAACTTCTCCTGAGTRTTTTTTTCTGCTCCAGATGTTCCAAACTTGCTCTGAACACATCTCTCACCCTGCAGGTGATGAAAACCTACCACATGTACAACGCTGACAGCATCAGTGCCCAGAGCAAGCTGAAGGAGGCTGAGAAGCAGGAGGAGAAGCAGATTGGGAAATCGGTGAAGCAGGAGGACAAACAGACCCCGCGCTCGCCCGACTCCACCTCCAACGTCAAATTCGAGGAGAAGCACGTGCGGAGGAGCTCGGTCAAGAAAATCGAGAAGATGAAGGAGAAGGTACCGAGTTCCCCCTCTTACAGGAGCCCCATCACATCCAAATCTCATTTTTTGTTT